CAATTTCCTACAGATTCAACTCTAAGCTAATCTCTAGACTGTCGAGTACAGAGTCTTGGTTTGGCCAAAGTCAGAACAAGTAAGCTATTTGGCTATATAAACTTTATCTGTTTCTAAAACATAAATTAACATCGTTAGTGTACAAACAAACAGTACGGTCTATTAATACAGGGAAAAACAAAGACAAATAACATACCGAACAGTAGCCAGAGAATAGGAAAAATGAGTCAACAAGCCAATATTGTTTTACAATGAACATTAAACTGTGATTGGTTAGTAAAGAGATACAGTCGTACAAGGTCAAAAGGAGTTGATGTGGTGGTGGGCGTTTCCCTTATTATTGGTGGGTTCGTCTATTAATCACATTTTACACAATATAATAGCGAAATATTAAATCATATAGATAAAATGAATAATAGTGGGATTTCGTCTTGTAAATCGAGGTAATAATAATAATAATAATAATAATAATAATAATAATAATAATAATAATAATAATAATAACGTCGTTCGAATAAAATATGTAGAAAGAGAGGCGTTGTAAAGGTAACTATTGTAAAAGAAATTCATGTGGATTGGGATAGATGAATGCGTAGATTAAGAAAGATAGGAACACAAAATAAAATGGTAGGGGAATAAAAGATTTACAATATCCAGTCCAGGTATCTGGTGATCCGATCGTGGACTAAGGTAGACATATAGGTTGGATATCCCTTACTGGATTTATAAGTTCGTTTCTCTAGAGTTGATCCGGATGGCTCCATCTATGTAGATAAGCCATAATCTAATACCTTCAGGTAGATTGTTTGGAACTTGATATTAAGAGATAGATTCATCTATTTTAATCTGATCTTCACCATCTACTAAGTGAAAGAGAATGGTGCTATTAGATATAGTGACTCCTTTTCCCAAACATGCTGATACATGTTTCATGAACGAGCTCTTAGGTGGGGAAGACCAATGTACTGTCAAAGCCAAATTACATACTGCTTTTGTAATATATGAAAACCATATATTAAATACACCATTTTCAGATGTTATATCAGTTATCCTTTACATGCTTCATGATTCTTTCAATTATGTTGTTACTAGAACTACAATATTTTTTCTCTACCTTCTCAATCGAAACTTTTCAAAATTTTAATGGCGTGCATTCCAGTTCCGATAGATGCTACATACTACTTATAACAGGAAAAATAAGTAGCATAGACCACACATATTTACAAGCACACAAGGATAAACCCCTGTGGATACAAGCTATGCTACTAGCTTCATTGCGACAGATGATTTGGTATACACACATGGAAGAGCCCGTCTTTGTAAACCTATTCATGACTTATGTAAGTGCTGGTTTGGTAGAGAAGATTACATGTAACCTGGCGTCAATGTAGTTATGAACAGGACTAATTACATAGATAAAATGGATACACTTCTGCGTGATCAAACTAAATTCCAAACGCATGAGTCATGTAAAGAACTTGATGAAAAGATCGAACGTCAGTTAACCACGACATTAAAACCTTTAAAATGATATCAATACATCTCTGAGAATGCCTATATTGGGCTCAAGCCTTCCGGAACACATCCCCCTCGACTCCATGACTTACCCACGATTCACAAACTAGAGGTTCGTTTACGTCCAATTATAGGCATGTCAAACTCACTATACCAATCAACAGCAAAATGGGTGGTGAGATTATCAGAAGTTATCAGTCGGTCAGCAACAACATAGAACTTCGTACGTACGTACATCAGTTCGAGTTGCCATACTGCATTACCACAGAGATGCAGTTGTCGATTCAAATCCCATAGTGGTAGGGGTAATATAAGTATAAACAGTAATCAGAAAGATTACGGTTTGAAGACGTTTTTCAAGGAGTTTAATCCACTGAAATAAATTTGGAAAGATAAAAAGTGACACGAAGAATTTAGATTAGAATTTGAGGGAACACAAAGAGTGGATGCAACTGCGCCATTGCAAACGATTTTGAGCCATGCCATTCAGGGTCTTTGTTAGGATATTCGGAAAAGTGTACCAATAATTATCATGTTAAGTCTAATGGTGTCCTTGGACGTTAAATGGACATTCCCTATTGGTCGATATTTGTTCCGCTCGTTAAATATTGTACAAATGTTGTTTTCTATCTTATGGTACGATGTGGTCTGTTTGATCGGTAATATAAACAGAGTATGTTCGAAATATAACGATTCATATCTCAGAGGCTGTGACTTGTGTTCTGGACTCAACTGGCTGGGTTAGATAGAGAAGCAGGGCTAATCAGGGCTTTAGGACGTTCGTACGTGTTTCCGTGTCATTGATCCAATATATAAATACCCTGCGCATTAAATCTGCAGTAAACCCGTTACAACAGTCTCTAACCATCGGTTGCTATCGTCTCTCAGACCCCAACCAGGTAGTCTACACCTACGAACATGGCTCAGTCTACTTGTCAGTGACTTCATGAACCTGTGCCATGTTTTGGTCTGGCCAACCCTAGCTTTCTTCCAATCTACTCCTTTACAACAAAACACCACACATCGAGGCAGTCGGTGGTTGGGCATGAGTAACACGTATCCCAGCCGTCTCAACTGATGACGTTTCACCACTTCATCAATCGATTTGCCATCCCTACCTAGTACCCGTTTCCTAACAACTGCGTTACTTACCCGATGGTCCCAGGATATACGAGCAATGTTTCGAAGACATCTATGATCGAATGCTAGTAACCTACGGATATCCTCTACCCTTACCGGCCACGTTTCACCACCATAAAGTAGGACGGAACGAACTGCTGCGCAGTAAACCCTCCCTTTGGTTGATAGACGGATATCACGCCTACGCCATAAATGACGCAAGTTGGTAAAAGCTAGTCGAGCCTTCTGTATCCGTGCTGAGATTTCGTCACACACCAGACCACAAGGGCTGATGAGACTCCCAAGATAAGTGAGGCGATCGACACGCTCAATTACTTCACTCCCTATCATTAGTTCGGGTGTCAATGCAACCCAATCCTGAAACAACACTTTACATTTCGAGGGGGAGTATCGCATCCCGAACATGCTTAGAGTGGTCAGAAGACTGCAATTTGTCAGCGTCTTTAACAAATAAAGCTATATCATCAGCATATTCCAAGCCAATAAGTGAACCTCCCGGTAGAAGTTCAACCCCTGGAAATCTAGACGAGGAAAGTTTCATCTCTAAAAGCACGTTAACGACAAAGTTGAACAAGAATGGAGAGAGTGGACAGCCCTGACGAACACCACTTGAGGTAATCAATTCTGATGACAGTTCGCCATAAGCTCTCACTCGACCATTTGTGTTCGAGTAGAGAGCCTTTATAAGGTTAATGTACTTCTTTGGTACTCCTGTCAATGACAAACACTGCCATAGAACCTCACGATCAACAGAGTGGAATGCTGCCTTAAGGTCGAGAAATACTACGATTGTGAGGCATCTGTGTTCTAGAACCTGACGTAGTGTGAATATCTGATCTATACAACCATGTCCAGGACGAAAACCAGCCTGATTTTCTCTAGTCTGCTCTTCACGAGCTTTAGTTAGGCGTCGAAGTGTTATTGAAGCTAATATTTTAGACACTGATTCCTCTGTGATTGTCACAAGAGGACTTTTTTCCTTCCTTATAGACTGATACAATCAGTGATTGAGACCAGTCAGATGGGATTTTGTCCAGTTCCCAAATTTTACCCAAGACCCCAGTCAATCCCACTGCTAATACTGGACCGCCATTCTTAAAAATCCTAGGGGTAGACAAATGGCGTACGAACTAATCGTTGGTCACCAGCTACCATGGGACTGCATCTCCTTACGACGCTCCACTGCCTTGTGGTCAGACCTTCGGGTCGAAGGCTCCGGGCGTGGCCCCGTAAGAAAACCACCTGCCTCGGTCTGGGCACCCGAGCAGTATCACAGCCCTCACACATATCAAATTAGATTTGTGTGGCGCATATGTATTTGGTGCCTCCTTGTGCCAATATCTGTGTATTAAAATAAAAATTGGTGCCTCCCTGCCTCCGGAGGTAGACCTATCATGGCCTGCTGCTCTCTTTCGATTCAGATTCCCTATAGCTTTTTCAATTTCGTGAAGATTTGGAGGACTTACACCAACTTGCCATTCAGGTCGACTCTGTTTGACCATCGTTGTCTTCGAAGGATTGCTGACGTCATAGCAATACCATGTTAATAATGCAAAGGTTCAGCATCATGTGTTCGGGCACAGCGACAATAATTCAATTGGTGTAACTTTCTTGAAACATCGACTTCAGTGGCTTGGATATATTTTATGAATGTTGTCTCAGAGAATTCCACGTCGTGCATTATTTACCGACGCTGGGACTGGTTGGAAAAAGCGGAGAGGTGGTCAGTGTATGACATGCTGTCGTGGTATGAAAGAAAGCTGCACAGGACTGGCTTCTTTTTTCCCCTCACGACTCCCTGGTTGATATCCTAGAGATGATGTAACACAGTGGCTTGAGACGTTATCAGATACGGCTCAGAACAAAAGCCAGTGGCGATCGTGTTGTAACTTTCTTCAGAAAATTGAACGTAGTTTCTTTAACCGGACTAATTCTTTCTGGTTGTACCTTTGCTAAATGAACTGCCTCTCCCATTATTATTTCACTGTCATACACTAAATTCTGATCGTTATTGTCCTCTATTTTCTCATACGCACTTTATATCCCTTCACATTCTCATTGTTATTGTACGGCGCATATGTATTTGGTGCATCTTTGTACCAATATTTAGGTGTTCAAATAAATAAATCGACTCCAAAAGGAGTAAACTGTTTGATCGCCGTAATTAAATGTATGTCAATCACCAGTCGTCCAAGTATTCTTTTAATTATTAGTTTCGTCATAACAAAGAATCGTAAGCAGAAATATATGATGCATAAGACCATTTTATTTTATAACACAACTATAGAGAAACAAAGCAAAAACATCATAAAGTCAAAAATATAAATATTGGAAATTAGTAGAGATCAGGCAGGTAGTCGTAAGTCACGTCCTTTCATAACTGTAAACAAAAGAAAGAGATACGTTAGTTAATTAGGTGACGTCGGTTGTTAGTGGAATTAGTCATTAGTTCTGTACAGTTAGATCGTAATTAATGACGAATTCTGTATAATAGGGCGTAAACGGATCATACTAAGGAGCAGTTTCTAGTAATGCATTTTTGATTAACATAACACGAGCTAAATATCTCCATTCAAGTTGTGAATAATAAGGCTCTTATACGTGGTTTAAACAGCAAAATTCGTTTTATCGTCAAATTGGCTATCATGAAGAACAAGTTATACCTAATATAAAAGTTTAGACCTTAACTGACGAATGTTTTGTCAAATCTCTGGAAGATGTTTAACGTAATTTTGTGAAGCGAACAGAGTATGAAAAGTTAAACCAACAATTTTCAACCAAGAATTTGAGTATTTCGGCGTCCAAAGATTTATAATGACAGCAATTCTATGTACTAATAGTGGCTTTTCCTGAGCCTTGAAACAGCATATATTAGAATAAGGATATAAAGAAATGACCTTTCATCATCGTATCTTGGAGTATCTAGTTCTATTTTAATCAAACATAACTTTAAGACATATTCAGGACACAAACCATTAGTCACTAAAATGTCGGGCAAACTATGTATATGAAATCTTTACCATGAACATTAAAATGAATTCTAAGACGTCACTAACGCATCTGAAAAGTGAAGAAGACCGATTGAAATAGTCATAGTACCCAGGCGGTGGGTAGTGGCTAACCATTTACTCATATCTTAATTGTTAGTCAGAACATTGTTTACAAAATAGATTTTTCACTGAAATACTAGAGGTTACTAGAAACAGTAAACGAACGAGTCGAATAACAATATGAGTGTAGACATGTTGCATAAAAGAAGTTATGTTAACTAGTGGATAAAATACGTTAAAAATTACCTCCAGTCATTTAAAAACATACGCGAAATCAAATATATAATTTACCTTTAGCTATATACAAATAGAAGAAGTCACAGTATAATAATGTTTGTACAATACCCGCAACAACAGCAATATAGTCGAGATAATCATCAAAAACATAACGGTATATCCAGTTGAACAAATACAACGCACGGTACGATCCTAACGCAAATAAGTAGTGAGAAGTGATTGTTTCAGCTTCGCCAGTTTTGCTAATCATAAACAACTGAGGCATAATAGCAACCGATTCCAAGTAAATTGAGAAAGCCCACAGTACCTTTGAGTAGTTAAGGGAAATACAAAAATGACATATTATAGAAGGAATGGGTAAAGAAAACTTGAAATAACATCCGGTATGTACAATAAGAGACACATGATTAAAGAAATCATGATGATAACCCACTTACCATTCAAAAATGACTTAATGGAAAATTCTTTAGTAATCAAACCAACAAAAGTTAATGCTTTTAGTGATAAATTAGTAAAAATAAATCAAAAGCTGGGTTTCGAGAGAAACTCAGGTAATCTAAATATATATTTCATGTTAGTGATATTTGAATTACGGAGGGAGCACAAAATGATGGGCCCGAATCTCAGAACATTGAATATTGAGTTGCCTGTCTACTTCAACCAACACTTCCTATTGTTTATAGAACCGAAATGAAATGTCTGGAGACGAAAATAGCTAAACTGTGCTTTACTGTCTGTAACTCCACGTTTTGACGGAAAATTTAAATTTAAAAGTTGAAGCTAAAGTTCGCGATTCGTTGATATCTATATGTATGTGACTCGTTTTATGTGAATCATCGTGAGGAAATCACTCAGTTCTTTGCAAAAGATCTCTGGAAATGTCCGTCGACGTTTTCTGAAGAATCAAACGAAGTTATGATACCTTACTTTGCAAACGATCCACAACTTATTGACCTAAGGTTTAGGTTGATCTATGTTTTAAACTTGCTAGCCAGTTGATCATGAAGCTTCACTTTGCTTGGCTCAATGGCTACTGTATAACAAGTTATCATGAATTGGTTTGGCAACCTTATGGATTGTTTTCTTACGCTATTAAAATTAGTGTTTTCCGCGAATTGGAGTGGTGCTTTAATATTCAATGTGTTCGACTTTCAGACACCAAATCCCAGGCTCGAATCCCAATCTGCTCATCCACGTAGTATAATTAGCCCTGATACTTGTATTCAAGTACCTAGTGAATGAGTGAATTACTTATTGACTTACAGTGTCACTTTATAAACTCCTCACACATGTTTAGTTAGAATAATCCTCGAGTTGGTTTCTAGGACAGCATATGTAAAACCTATCCAAATCATGTATTAAAAAGGTTTGCATAATCTCGAAAAAGTTAAAGAGACTGAGCAGTTCCAAGCAAAGAAAAAAGGAAAATCAGAAGCTATTTTCCAGTGAATCAGCATACACATTTTTGATGCGCATTTGCCAAGTAATTGATCTACAGTATTTTAATTAGAAGGTTCCATTTGACCCCTTAACTGTTATCATACCTTTCTCCATTCATTGTATTGTTCATTAAACACAAACCTATTCCTCAAACTTTGTATTAGAAAGATCCTAATTATTAAGAGATTAGGCTTTAATTATGATGGTATTGTAGACTTCTTTATATATGAATATACAAACTAAGGTACTTGCTTAACAGCATGCATATGACAACTAAAAATGAGAATAAGAACTGACTGAATACATCCTATTACTAGATTTAAAATTCAAGGCGTTATTGGCGTAAGTGAGAAATAAAACAAGTATTACATAGATGTTGCCATTGTATGCAATATACCATACAAATGATTGATTAATACTTCAAGATCTAGTAATCGGACTTAACAAGGATAGTGTAAAACAATTCACACTAAAGAGTTAGTTATGAAACACACCAAAAAGAAAACATAGCAACAGAAATTGCATTTTGTTATTCGGATGATAATCTTGATATCTGTCAAACGATTTGTTTAGGGCTCATTTTACTTTTTATTTCCCATTGAATCCATAAAATTGTATGTATTGAGTAATCCTTCACTATAGTTTGAATTTGATTGGTTATCACATCAGTATATCTCGGCCACTATTATATATATATTCTAAATCTTAATAAGTTTCGATAGACCTACGAATTGACTGGTGTACATTGGATTCTTTTCGTTTCAACGTTTACAAGTGATAACCATTTCACTTTACCGAAAATCCTCAATTCCTATTACACATTTCAAAAGGTGTATTTACCTTAAATCAGACATGCATTTTATGAACCTATTGGGCTCATGGAAAATAATATATCATTTATTAGGTATTTGAATATGAACAACAAAGTGTGAGAGCTATTGATGCTACCTGGTTGACCAAACCGAAGCAGATGGGGTGGGGTTTGATCCTGCGACTTAGTTTCTAGAAGTCGGACGCCTTAATCATTGAGCCAATGCTACACTTGCGCTTATAACTGTGGAACCCTATGAGGCTTTATGGAAAGGAATATTCTCTGTTCGTATGTGCTTCAGTATTCGAAAAACTATGGAAGCTGCTTTTCTATGGAGGCCAAACACTCATCTTATGTTCACCACTAATGACGGTTCGATTAAAAAAAACAGAAGGATGTACTGTATGTTTATCCACTTCCTACCCAAACATGAAAAGTTGGCTTTGTTATGAAAATATAAGTAATTTATCGAGAGTACAAGATTAATCCTAGAGATACCTTAAAAGTTATCTCAAACGTGTAAGAAACATCAAGCTTTATGTTCATATATAATATAATTCATCAGCTGGAGACCTTAAGTGACATAGACTTTAAATAGTTATAGTGATGAGGATGGATTACCTCTAAAATTAATTTGGACAATAGAATTACAATTCCAGAGTTACGTACTCAGTCTCATTCTGGTTTTGCTTCTTGTTTTACCTAATCAGTGTCGTTATAAAAGCTGGTTGTTTTGGATTGTTTGGTGTGAGCCAATCTAAACTGATGTACCATTACAATACCTAACTGTAAATTGTTTGTTTCAGCCAAATTATCAAAGTGAAAATCGAAAAATCTGTATTGAAGGCCTTACCTCATATAAAGAAAATTCGTAATTGGCCACTAATCCTAGAAGCAGACTGGGGATCAGCAACAAATACACAGCAAATGTATCATGATTAGAATCGTATGTAGCCTTGAATTTGAAATACATGAAGTAGACGGTCGCACAAGAGCAAATGATAAAGAAAAGCTTCATGATGGTGTTATACAGTGAAATGAAATTGAAAAACAAATCCACGTAACGTGATATAAACACAACCGCAAAAAGAAGTTGAGATTTTCCTGAAAGTCCTGCAAAGTGGATACAAGTAATCCAAGTGAAGTATATTGAAAAGGTTACATAAATCAACAAAATCGCTCACATAGAAAACCGACAACTATTTGCGGACATTACCTCAATGAATAGATTTCATTCACAAAGACATGAAAACACATAATCCTTTCAAAATGGTTTCTAGATAAGTTTAGATATCGCAGGACGCTCAACTTCAAGATCAACAAGCTGGATTGCGTAAGGATCGGTCGTGCACAGACCGAATTGCGACACTACGGATGGTGTTATTGTCTAACCTCAATCAATTCACGAAGGCCCTGGGTTCGAACCCCGACCCCTTTTTATACATTGGGACAATCAATGATTGAGACCAGTCCGATGGGATTACGTCCAACTCCCAAATCTTAACTAAAATATTAGTCAACCTAATCGCTAAAACTGGATCACTATACTTAAGGGCATCTGGAGCCAATCTATCGGGACTAGCAGCTCTTCCTCGTTTCGGATTAGCTATAGCCTGTTAAACTGCAGCTAGAGTTGAAGGTCCTACTTCAATGTTCCATTCAGAGTGTCTGGGAATGGTGGGTAGATGTAGAGTAGCTGATTTTATTTATTTATTTGAATACATAAATATTGGTACAAGAGAGCGCCAGTATATATGCGCCACAAAAAACAATGAGAATTCGAAGAGAAAAAAAGGTAAGGAGCGTAAAAAAACCAGAACAATAACGAAGAGATTGGCGTAAGGTAGTGCAGTAATAATGAGGGAACGGAAAGGTACAATCACAAGAAATCTTTCAGTTAAGGGAGACACAACCACTTTTTATGAAGAAAGTAAAAGAAGGTTACAGCAGGATGGCCACTGGCTTCTATTCTGAGCCATATCTGATAGAGTAGCTGAAGGCAAGGTAAACCATTGCCTAAAGTGTTCCGTCCATCTTTCTGAACGTCTGGACTGAGAGCACACATTAGTGTCGTCTTTTTCCGAGATCATCTCGCTTACACCCGACTTTTTCGTTCCAGTTTCTTTTACCAGTCTGAAGAGCTGTTTTGTGCTACCTTCAGCCACCGCCTTTTATACTTCTTTTGATTTCGATACAGCCTATGACAGACTTCGTTGGTTCCAGGTCGGCGGCTTATTTCCCAAGAGGCATAACAGATTTAAGGAAGTACGCAAGGTGATATCACTAAAGTTAAACCACTTGTGCCACATGGAAATCCTCAGTCTCTGTCTGAATAATGGTGAAGATCTTAATTTTATCAGAGTATATGGTAGCTGACTTCAAACCAGTAGGTCCAATTATTTTAATTTGTATGAAGACGCTTGAATCAGTCTTATGCAACATGAAACCTGGCATATATGTACATTGACTCCAGTTACCACACCGTATTAGCACTGCTATCAAAACCTTCGCAAATATAACGTTTACTTGACTAAGATTCAGAAACTGATAAGTTTATGACGAAAGTACTTTATGTACGTGAGGTTGCAAACTTTCCTACCTATTGATACACACTTATGACCAATGAGTTGTTGGGAAAAAACAGCGGGCAGATGCAAGTACTAAGATCGTGGACTGGCTATTGATGTAATATTCTTAGATTCCAGAAAATGATTTGATCAGGTAGCTGTTTCAAGCATGAATTATGTAGGGACCCTCTATATTTGGAATAGAAGACATACCTGGACCAGAAGGTACCCAGATATTGAGAGCGAAGAGTGAAAGTTAATGGGATGCAATCTAAATGGCAGTTTCTGTGAGCAGAATACCGCTATATATTATATTTGATTCTCCAACACTTTCACACTATGGTGCAGAAGCATTGGTTATTATTTGACACATATGTCAACTAACTACCAAGAACGTTTACGCCATTAACACACTTGAAGATAACATGAAGATACGGAGAGTAAGTAGCAAGGCTGACAGGCTTGGGTTGATCAAGCCTTTCAGTTTCAGTTCAGAAAGGACAGAAGGCTTAATGGCCTGTGCTAGTCCTGGCAATGGTGGTCTCAATTGATCCAACTTTCTTTTGAAAGAGTCAACGGATGGAGCCCCAACCACGTGCTGATGTAATGAATTGCACTCGAATTTGTATTGGGCGTGACCCGTAGAATAATACCGACCTCCCAGCCTGGAGGAATATTTACGTTTTTCCAAATAATTCAAAAACCATTAATATTTCCAATATTTGGAAAAAATCGACCAAATCGAAGGGAATCTTGATGATTTAGACGCTGGCAAAAAGGATCTGAAAATTGTAAATTTTCGGGTTGTAAGGCTTCGACAGAGAATGATGCTGAAGTCACTCTGGATAAAACACGAAGCCACTTAAATAGGCTTCAGATCTGTTATACTAATGCCCGAAGCTTACTTAATAAGCGGTAGGAACTAGGTGTACAGATTGACTCTACAAAGCCAGACATAATCGCAGTCACAGAAACCTGGCTGACACAGGCTATAGATAGTATGGAACTTGATTTCGAGGGTTTTACGTTAGTAAGGGCCAACAGAATACAAAAGCGTAAAGGAGGGGAGTAGCCCTATTCATTAGGAATGCTATTCCATTTACCATTATCGACAGTGTATCGCATGAGAGTGGGACGCGTGAATTGCCGCTTGAAATGCAAAGGACAAGAGCTACTGATTGGTTTGGTCTATCGCAGTCCTAGCTGTGGGGTAAATGAGATCCTGTTAAGCAGTCTCAATACTTGGTCAAAAAGTGGTCGATGTCTAATCCTAGGGGACTTTAATGCACCAATGGTAGACTGGGTAAATCTGAGAACTGAATCGTCAGAAAATTCCTTCGAGCAAAAACTAATTGATGCGGTTATCACATGTGCCCTAGTGCAACATGTGAAAGAAGCGACAAGGTACGATCCGGACACTGAACCATCCTTATTAGATCTTATACTGACTCACTATGAGGATGATGTTGCGAACCTCCATTATATGCCACCCCTAGGTAAAAGTGATCACGCAGTTCTAACTCTCGACTTCCATATAACTGTCAGTCACGAGTACGTGTCAGTCCAATCCAGACCTAACGTCTGGAAAGCAAACATACCATATATCATGCACTCAGCATCGTTAGTAGATTGGACAATAGACCCAGAGTCCTCAATTGAAACGGTCTGGGACGCATTTCGAAATTCATACTTAATAGTTACCACACCTCACATCCCTTGGACTATACCAAGGGGGCCGAGAAACTCCCCACCATGGTTCAGTAGGGAGGTCTGCATCCTTCTCCGTAAGAGAAGAAAGATGTGGGATAGATTTAGATTACTGGGGACTGATGAGACAAAATCTCAGTATCAAAAAGATCGGAATACCTGTGTCTCGACCCTCCGTAAGTCTAAAGAGTTGTAAGAAGAAAAATTTGTTAAGAAATCCACAGTGTCCTAAACGTTTGTATTCCTATGTAAACCAAAGGACAAAAAGAAGAGGAAATATTCCTGCTCTATGGGGAGAGCACTGCCGCATCATTAGTGGAGGACGACTTTGGTAAGGCTCAAGTGTTCTCGAACTACTTTAGCAATGTATATACCATAGAAGCACCCTTCCCGTCAGTGCATACAGATCCCCCACACATACACTAGATAGAGTGACCATTAAAGAACTCGATGTCTTTGGTCTGCTAAATAAGCTTGACATAGGTAAATTCACGGGGCCCGATGAATTACATCCTAGGCTACTGAAGGAATTATTTAACTTCGTTGCAAGCCTTTTAAGTACATGCTTTAACCTATCCGTTACGCAGGGTCGTTTACTCAAATACTGGTTTAACGCCATAGTAAGTCCTGTCTTCAAAACAGGTACGAAACACAAACCTGAGAATTACCGCCCCGTTAGCCTAACTAGTGTGGTTGTTAAAATCTTAGAAAAGATTATTCGAAGGAGCTGTTTAAGTATCTCGATAAAAACCGGATCCTTTCAGAGAAACAGCACGGCTTCAGAATAGGTTATTCTTGTCTCACTAACTTATTAGTGGCTCGTGAAAGCTGGTGCGCTCTTAAGGACCAAAAGCTACTTGTAGACGCCTTCATTGATTTCAGTAAAGCTTTTGACAAAGTTCCGCACAACCGGCTGTTATATAAGTTAAGAAAAGTCGGGATTGGAGGCAATTTATTGATGTGGATAAAAGACTTCTTAGTTGGGCGTCAACAAAGAGTAAGGGTGAACTCAAAGTTATCTAGCTGGGAAACTGTGCTTAGTGGAGTGCCCCATGGTACAGTTTTGGGGCCAGTGCTATTCCTCTTGTATGTAAATGACCTTCCTTGTCTCCTATCATCATCGGTCTTGCTATATGCTGACGATGTCAAGATATGGAAAACGATACGACGTAAGAGTGATAGCTTAGAACTTCAAAATGACCTGGAGAAGTTATCTGAATGGTCTCAAACATGGCAGCTGCCGATAAATACTTCCAAGTGTGTTGTGATGCATATCGGTCATCAAGGCACAGATACATACACGATGAATAACACTGAGCTACCTGTCGTCCAGACATATATTGACTTAGGAGTTATCGTTAGTCAAGACTGAAAGACTACTGCACACTGCCGTGCAATAGCCGTTAAAGGTTTTAGAACGTTATGGTCAATACGTAGAGCTTTTAGTCATGTCGACGCTAAAACGTTTTTGACTTTATATGCAGTGTTTGTTCGTCCTAAACTTGAGTACTGCATACAAGCGGCTAGCCCCTGCTTAAAAAAGACAGTGAGCTTCTGGAAAAGGTTCAGAGAACGGCGACTAAGCTGATTCCCGGAATAGCGAAGCTTTCGTATGAATCTCGACTGACCAAGCTGAACCTTTTCCCGTTGTCATATCGCAGAACTAGAGGCGACTTGATTACAGTCTACAAATTGCTTAGTGATAAATTTGCACCTGATATGCCCTCATTTTTCTTGTCTTCCAAAACAGAGAATTTACGAGGACACTCCAAAAAAGTTCACAAGCCGAGAACAAATCACTTGTCAGCTGACTATCGACTTTCCCATCGAATCATCAACGAGTGGAATTCACTACGTCAGCACGTGGTTGAGGCTCCATCTGTCGACTCTTTCAAAAGAAAGTTGGATCAACTGAGAGACCATCATTGCCAGGACTAACATAGGCCACCGAGCCTCCTGTCCTTCCCAAACTGCAAACTGATTTCCCAAAAGTCAGTGGAATAATCTAGGGAGTGCGCTAATCAGCTGGACGAAAGTGAGCCAGTGAGATCTTATTATAATGTGAAAGGAACCTACTAGGACTAGTATTGCAACGACGAGAATGACAAAAGTTTCACTATTTAAGATGCAAAACTTTGCTGTTTTTGGCGTACATATGACAGTCCAGGAGTACTGACAGAAGGTATCTTACCAGCACATGACTTAGTCTTCCAGATTTTCTTTAGGAGGATTATGAGGGCGACGAGATGGGAGAAATCCCCCAATAACCTGAATATGTTCATGCCTTTTTGTACCGAGATGAATACTGATACGCGCCACACTTGTGGCCTTTCTCAATAAACAATGTACATCTAAATATGAAACTAGTGAGCGAAACGTATTTCAGATCATGAATTTCAGACATTTTAAATGTCTAGATGTCTTTGACACACAAACAGCCTGGAATTTGATAGTGAGTTGAACAGTAACAACAGTCCGTGACTCATCTACTTATGAAACCCATACCTAAGAATGGAAAGTCTAAATCTCCTTCTTTGATGAATTTTCATACTAAGGTGGTTTACCTGGTTTAAAGTTTCTGTCTTAACTTATATATACATATCAAAATTGTTGACGTCAGACACTCTGCCTCAGTTTCCTAAGTGAGTAATAAAAGTCGAGTATCTATGGTTTACTAGTAAGCCCCATTTGCGTCAAGAGCTTAAAACATACTGCTCTACGGTATATATTCCAGCCCTTAAGGTGATTTGTCTGTCAAGCACGACCGGAAGATTCTTCGTGGATGAACTACAAGCTGTCCATAACATGAAACTACAATGAAAGATTTAAAGCTCATGAAAAAGAAGAGGTGAAACGTGCGAAGCTCCAAAAGCGTATGTCGCCGAATACAACCTCAGAACTTAAAGTCAACGCAACAAAGACTATATCAGATTTTGATCTGCACTATGTAGACAATTTTTTCCTAGAAACCTAATAAAGCCAACGATGATGGACAGGCGCTAATTTCAAAAAGAGCAGTGAATTTTGTACTTGTGGTGATTATACTTGCTTTTGGTACTTATTGCGCTAAAAAGCACTCTTGGTCGACTTTAACTATGAGTTCTTTGGTTAAAGTTTGAAATTTTTTGTTACATTTTGTCCTGAGTACCTGTTTTTAGTCCTTGACTAACACTTGTGTTCACATTGTTATCATTTTTTGTTTTTAAACCTTTTAAATCGAATTACAATGGTTGGTACGACTCACAAATGTGGGTAACCAAACTGTTTGTTCCCTGTGGAAGAGGGGATGCAGTGTGACGAATGCCATAAGTGGTTCCACAAAATGTGCACCTGCTTAAGTCCCACCGCATACAAAAGATGCTCGAAGCCTAACTCACATTGGCTTTGCATGTTTTGCTGTGCCAACAAGGAATTACTAATACAGGAGGCTATGAGCCTCTTGGCTTTGGCCTGTAAAAAGAAGGATGGCATATGCGCTGACAACACGGGCACTGACAGCGACGAATGTGTCAGTGTAGTACCTGCTGTTACGCGACGCCTCAAACAACCGACTCTGACCGACGTAAAAGTGGAATCTTCGTTGACATTAACAGGGGGAGTAGTACCACCTGGTACTGACATTGTTAATAATGCACCTTTAATGGGAACCGAAGATCTGGATAAAACAGTCACCGTCCCAAATAGTCCCAGTGTTATGAGGGATGAAAAATGGACTACGGTACGTAGGAAACGAAACGAAAAGAAAAAAGCTGTAAGCAGTACACAGGTAGTTAGTAACTCACTGGTGGACCCAAATTGTGAGCCACAAATTGCACTACCAAAATCTGAAGGTAAGACTGAAACTCATCCTGGCGTGACTGAGAAGAAAAATCTAATAACATCGAATATTATTGTGAGCAAATTGCGGGAGTCAAACGACCCTGGTCCGAAAATTAGACACGCGCATGACTTAGAAAAGCTAGGAGAATACATTCGTAGTATTTTACCAGATAACTCCAAAGGAGTTCAGGTCAAAAAATTGGTAAAAATAGGCAAGAGGACCGAGGACAATGTTGAACCCCGTCCATGCAGACTCCTTAAGGTAATCCTAGGATCGGAGAAGCAACAGGATCTCTTGTTAAGTAGCGCTCGTTGTCACGACAATTCTGACATCCGAGTTAGACCTGACATATCTCTCGAAGACAGAATAAAAAGGAAGAAAGCACTAGCTGAACTTGAAACCCGTCGGCAAAACGGCGAAAAAAATCTCCGGCTAGTGGGTTTTCGGATAGTCAGGTCTTGGAAGCGAATGCTACCAAGGCCTGTGTGGATAGGCTGTTCTGCTTAGGAGTTTTATATGCCAACGCTCGTGGTTTACGAAATAAGTTCTATGAACTAGAAGCACTAGTAGACAGGTTAAAGCCACTCATAGTAGCAGTGACAGAAACTTGGTTAGTCCATGACTTAGACATTACTCCAGAATTATCCGGATACCATTGCATCAGGAGTGATAGACATGAATGTAGAAAAGGAGGCGGCGTCCTGTTATATATAGCCAATGGCATAAATATCCGCTCCTCTACTAGCGAATCCCATGACAGCGGCACTTGTGAAGTCATTAGCTGTAAGTTGGCTACAGGATGTAGTACATTTATACTAGGTGTCATTTATCGGAGCCCAATCTGCTTAGCTGATGACTTTGTTTTAGAGCACATTCATCTTTGGAGTGATAATACCAGGTGCTTGATAATAGGAGACTTTAACGCACCTGATATTAGTTGGACTGATATGACCACAGAAGGATCTATAAACTCCTTTGATAGTAGGTTACTGATAACAATAATGGAGCATGCACTAGTGCAGCATGTATCCCAACCCACACGTTTTGGTGTTAACCAGGGTTCTTCTCTGCTGGATTTGGTAATCACTCATGAGACTGAGGATATTGTCGACCTAAATATTCTTCCACCGTTAGTAAACAGCGATCACGCTGTTTTGTCATTCGCGTTAACAACTAGGGACATGTTATACGATCAGGTTACACCGCGCCCAAATGTATGGAAAGCTAACATATCAGCCATTCAGGAATGCGCTGCTAAGACAGATTGGTTAGTAGATACTAGCATATCAGTTGAAGAAGCATGGTCTGTATTTAAGGGTAAATTTAGACTAGTTACGTCCCCGTTCATACCATACCTGGTGCCACGAAGACCAAATAATAGTCCACCATGGATAACTAAAACGGTCAGGAAACTCCTTAGAAAAAGGAAGAATCACTGGAATATGTTCATCTCTACTGGCTTAGAACAATACAGATCCAGTTATCGTAAGATTAGGAATGCCTGTAAAGCGTTAATAAGCAAGACTAGACATTCATAAGAAAAAAAATTGGTTAGAGATTCTAGATATAGTCCGAAACGGTTATTCTCGTGTATAAAAAGGCGAACTAAGAGAAGCGATGGAATTCCATCACTTTTGATACGGGACAATCCGTTAATCTTAGCAGAGAATGATGCCGAAAAAGCTGAAGCTTTATCGGAATATTTTAGTAAAGTGTTTTCTATCGGTAATGAGGAACGACCAATGATTCATCGTGACCGTGACGGCTCGCTGATGGATCCTGTAGTCATTGAGAAAGATACTGTTTTAAGGCTACTTCAGCATCTCAAACCTGATAAGTCCAGTGGTCCCGATGATATTCATCCTAGGATTATGAAAGCCATATCAGATGAAATTGCTGAACCATTAGCGATACTATTCCACATGTCTCTGAGACAGTCCAGACTTCCTAGAGACTAGAAAGACGCCATAATAAGTCCGGTGTATAAGGCTGGGAGTAGGGATTTAGTTAGTAACTATAGACCCGTTAGCTTAACTAGTGCAGTTGTGAAACTGATGGAGAAAATCATTCGGATAGCTGTTATAAACTATGTTGAAGGGCAAAATCTTTTCTCCAGGGCACAACATGGTTTTCGGAAAGGCCTATCTTGCTTGACAAATCTTCTCATTGCACGAGAAGAATGGGCTGCGGCAAAGGATCGGAATGCTCCTGTGGATGTAATTTTCATAGATCTAAGTAAAGCCTTTGATAAGGTTTCACACTCTGGTTTTAAATTCAAACTGAAACGTTTTGGAATCCATAGCACAGTCGTCGATTGGATAAGTAACTTTCGCCATGACAGGATATAAAGGGTAAAGGCTAATGAGGCTCTCTCCTCGTGGGTACCTGTAAAAAGTGGGGTTCCCCAAGGCACAATCCTAGGTCCTCTTCTCTTTTTACTTTATGTAAATGAATTACCAACTGTAGCAAAATCATCCGTTCTACTCTTCGCTGATGACATAAAGATTTGGAGACCCATACATAGTATGTCGGATAGAATAGTATTACAGGACGATCTTAGCTCATTGGTGGCATGGTTAGACAGGTGGTCACTAGAAGTAAATCCTAATAAGAGTGTAGTGATGCAGTTAAATAACTCTGATGAATCGTATGACTATACACTACGTGGATTCGTGCTACCCAAAGCAAAAAACTATAAAGACTTAGGAGTTATATTAAGCAATGATCTCAAAACGACTAGTCACTGTAAGGCTGCTGCTGCAAAAGGCTATAGGGTATTATGGTCAATTCGTGGGTCTTTTCAGTATTTAGATGATGAAATGTTTGGATTACTATACCCGATTTATGTGCGACCACATTTAGAATACGGGATTCAAGCAGCGAGTCCTTGTTCCAAATATGAAGCAGATATGCTAGAAAGAGTCCAACGACGAGCTACTAAGATGGTACAAGGTCTAGCTGGCCTATCTTATGAAGACAGACTGAGACACCTTAACTTATTTCCGTTATCTTACCGTAGAATACGGGGTGATCTAATATTGGCTTATCGTATACTGAACGATGACCTTGGTATTAACATGTCTTATCTTTTGCTTACGTCTAGAGCCGATCATTTGAGAGGACATTCGAAGAAAGTTCAAAAACCGAGATCAAACCGTTTACGTCTGGAGTTCCGTTTCTCGCACCGAGTAGTGAATTACTGGAATTCCCTACCGGAACACATAATATCAGCACCGTCTGTTAATATATTCAAAACGAGATTGGACCTCCACAGTATTACAAACTGCAAGGATTAATATAGGTCGACAGACCTCCTATCCTTATTACTGAAGACTAACATCCAGAAAATTAAATTGGTAGATTGAAGCTTTTAAACCTTTAACAAATATGACTACCAGGGAGGGAAGAGGTTAGTTCTAAGGAATGAAACCTCAGAGCCTACTGAGGCAAATCTCTCAGGAG